CATATTTTGATGCCTCAAATGCTAGACCCGTTTCTAGGTATCTTTGACTTGCTGATTCCAAAAATGGCACCAGTTTTCCCTTATCAGTTCTAGTTTTTGAGATGTAGAACATATGCCATATACCAGTCTCCATTTGCATGCTCATAGAAAATAATGATAACGATATCTAAGAAACTAGAGTTGATGTGGTCTATCTCATGCAATTTTCTGAATTAGTGCCACCAGTAACTCTTGAAATAGACCTAAAAACCAAGGTAACAAGAATTTTATTTGTTTGGTTGTGTAACTCATCTTCTGTTGTGAAATGAACTGTTGGGATATGAGTGCCTGTGCATTTTGTTGGTCTTCCATTTCCACAGATTCTGTAGTCATTGGTCCAGCCATCCATGACTAGTACAACATGATCTACAATTTCAGTGTTGGTGTAGATCAATTCTGAAGTATGGAAAGGAACTCCAAATGTTTTGAATTTCTAATCCAAGAATATCTCAATTAAACTTAGAAATGAATGGAAACCAACCAACTGAAATTATAAAACACTATGGTGCTTGTCACATGATAATGTATATGATTATAGCAGTGGGTTAATGTTGACTTTGCTCCAGCCTTATTGCACCATATCATAGCACTCCCAGTATAGTTGTGCCTTAGAGACATTGGGATTTCAATCTGTTGCACGCTGGAAACAATTTGCTTCCTGCTGTGGCTCAGGAACCAGTATGATGGTGGGTGTCTCATTCTGCTTCATTGTGAGATGGTTTGAATATTGGGCATGATTTTGGTGTAGTCTGGTTGCTCTTCCCTTAGAGCTTTCAAGGGAAACTCTGGACAGGAAATTTTAAGACTACTTCTGGTGTTTTGACAGAGGACAAGACTTTCTTGAAGAAATTATGTTTGTGTGTGTGTGTTGGAAATGCTTTTTACATTTCTTGTAATTTTAAAAAGTTGGTATGCTCTTATGAAGCAAGGAAGATGTAATTCAAACACCGTTACTGCATGAGTATGCTTTTCAAAGATCTCTCCTTTGCTTTCCAGGGACTATTTAGTTACTTCCCAAGTGTGTGTGTGTGTGTGTAAATAAATAATTTATGCAGTAGTATAATAGTGCAGTGATATTATGGTGTAATAGCATTATTATACCTTAATATATGATAAAATAAAGGGGAACCAATAATGATGCAATAGATAATACAAACATGAAAATGCAAATGACATTTGTCAGTATTGAGGAATTGGAAGGGTAGTTGTTAAGTCATGAAAGTGTAAATGTGGTGAAGGGTTCAATCCATATTACCAGCATTCAGATATCTTCACAAGTATAGGTGAAGTGCTTTTCAAAGGGACCAACTTGAAACAACTGAGTAGTGTGATAAACATGCGAAATGATACAATCATAAAGTTCATTTTCAGTTAACACTTTTGCTGAGATATTCTGTAATAACTGAAATTTTCAGCTCATAGCTCAGTTGGAAAAATTCATCTCATAATGTGTGGATTATTCATATTCAGTGGGAGTGCTGAATAAAGACTATGGTATGTAAAAGGAAAGAACGTGCTAAGGGCACACTGGAGGAAATAAGACATATTCTCTTAAACTGTTTTCTTGATGATAGCATACATAGTCAAACAAAAAAAGGTTTAATGACTCCTTTGTACAGGGTTAAATAAAAATAGGAACAAAGATATAGGCATAATTGCAAGAACCATTCTTTTGAAGATATATGTAATTATCATGAGAATACTTTGAAAAAGCAGCTGTTCATATGTCTATAGGGTCTATATCCTTATACCATAGACCACACATCTATCTGAAGGTGTTTTTTTAAAAGTTCCTTTAATTGTATGCATGGGATTTGATCAATTGAAGTTGTGCTTTTGAGTGACTGCTTTTCTCCCTACTGATAGTAATCCATCCTCAAGGGAAATATATTTTGATTTATTGTTATTTATAATAGCAACATCTATTATGATTTTCTAATTTCCATATTGGAACTTGAAAAAGGTATACTGGGATTCATATTTAATGCATTTGATTGGAATATTGCTTGTGAAAACAATTTTAAAATGACTTGTCAGCACCAGAGCATTCTTTTCTTGTGTAGTTTCCATCTCCTTTACATGGATCCATACAAGAGCCATCTCCTATGAGTTACCTTATGTTTAATGTTGTAAAACATACTCCTGTATTAGACCTTATCATTAGTACAGCAAATTCCTAATTTAGAGGAGCTCACTTGTAACTTGAAGAAATGTTCAGAATGAAATACAACAGAAAAATGCAAAATTTTATACTTAGGCCACAAAAAACAAATGCACAATGTGTTGTCGAAGGCTTTCATTATTATTATTATTATTATTATTATTATTATTATTATTATTATTATTTTATTATCTTTATTTGTACCTCGCTAGCATCTCCTGAAGGACTCGATGAGGCTTACAAAGGCCAAGGCCTCAAAAACATAGCATAATAATACACAACTCAAAGCAAATCAAAACAATTAAAGCAATATCAAAAACAACAGAACAATAAAACAATACACCAAACACAATAAAACTGGGCCAGGCCAAATGTAATGGGTACAGATTAAAAGTGCTGATGTGACAGGTGGTATGTCGGATTTTAGGGTAAGTGCAGTGTGCAAGCAACCTTAAAGTCTAATAGAGTGCTTCTGGGACAGGTTGTTGGAGTTTTCCTATTCTGGAAAGGCACATCGGAACAGCCAGGTCTTCAAGTTCTTCCTAAAGACTGCCAACGTAGGGGCCTGTCTAATGTCTTTGGGGAGAGTGTTCCAGAGTCGGGGGGGCCACCACAGAAAAGGCCCTGTCTCGCGTCCCCACCAGACGCGCCTGTGACGCTGGTGGAATCGCGAGCAGGGCCTCTCCGGATGAACGAAGTGAACGCGTGGGTTCATAAATGGAGATGCGGTCACGCAGGTAGGATGGTCCCAAACCGTTTAGGGCTTTGTAGGTGAGCACCTGCACCTTGAATTGGGCTCGGAAAATAAACGGCAGCCAGTGGAGCTCCTTGAACAGGAGGGTTGACCTCTCTCTGTAAGGAGCACCAGTTAACATCCTGGCCGCTGCCCGTTGGACCAGTTGAAATTTCCGAGCCGTTTTCAAGGGCAGCCCCACGTAGAGCGCATTACAGTAGTCCAATCTAGAGGTGACCAAGGCATGGACCACCCCTGCCAGATCAGCCTTCGCGAGGTACGGTCGCAGTTGGCGCACGAGTCTCAATTGTGCGAAAGCCCTCCCGCACCGACGCCTGAGCCTCAAGCGTAAGTGATGAATCCAAGAGGACTCCCAAACTGCGGACCTGTGACTTCAGGGGGAGTGTAACCCCGTCCAGCACAGGTTGCCACCCTATACCCCGATCCGGTTTATGATTGACCAGGAGGACCTCTGTCTTGTCAGGATTGATCTTCAGCTTGTTCCTCCTCATCCAGATAGCCACAGCGGCCAGGCACTCGTCCAGCACCCGAGAGGCCTCCTTGGATTGGGTGGAAATGAGTAATAGAGTTGTGTGTCATCTGCATAGAGGTGGCACCTAACTCCAAAACTCCGGATGACCTCTCCCAGCGGTTTCATGTAGATGTTAAAGAGCATGGGAGACAGAATAGAGCCTTGCGGGACCCCACAGGTCAAAGGCCAGGGGTCCGAGCAGGCGTCTCCCAGCTTCACCATCTGGGATCGACCCTCCAGGAAAGACCAGAGCCATGACAGAACCGTGCCCCCCCATCCCAGAGAGTCGTCCCAGAAGGATACCATGATCGATGGTATCGAAAGCCGCTGAGATGTCCAAGAGAACCAACAGGGTCACACTCCCCCTGTCCAGCTCTCTACGGAGGTCATCCACCAAGGCGACCAAGGCTGTCTCGGTGCCGTGACCAGGCCTGAAACCAGACTGTGACTGATCTAGGTAGTTGTTCATCTAAAAAGCCCTGGAGCTGGGAGGCAACCACCCGCTCCAGCACCTTACCCAAAAAAAGGGAGGTTGGAGATTGGTCTGAAATTGTTCAGCACCGTGGAGTCAAGGGAGACCTTTTTAAGGAGTGGACGAACCACAGCTTGTTTCAGTCGAGATGGAAAAACCCCCTGCTCCAGCGATGCATTAATGATCAACACAAACCAATCAACCAGCCCCTCCCTGGCTGATTTAATTAGCCAAGACAGGCAAGGGTCTAGAACCAACGTGGTCGACCTCACAGCCCCAAGGACCTCCTCCACGGTCTCGGGAAGAACAAGCCTAAAAAAATCCCACAAAATTGGACAAGCAGGTGCCTCAATCACCTCTCCTGGCACTGTGATGAAATTGGAGTCGAGCTCAAGGCGTATCTGAGCAACTTTGCCTGCAAAATGGTGTGCGAACTCGCGACACCGAGTTGCTGGGTCATTGAAGGTCTCCTCCACCACAGGTGGCTGAAGGAGTTTCCCGACGACCCGGAACAACTCAGGTGATCTATTTGCTGCAGACACTATACCGGTAGTCGTGAAAGACTCCTTGGCTACCCGTATAGCCACGGTATACGCCCTAAGAGAGGCAGAATCATGGCCAGAATCCCTGGGTAGCTGTGAGTTTTTGGGCTGTATGGTCATGTTCCAGAGATCTGGCCTCACAATCTCTGAGGATGCCTGGCATAAATGTGGGTGAAATGTCAGGAGAGAATGTTTCTGGAACATGGCTGTATAACTCAGAAAACTCACAGCTACCCAATAAATGCGTAGTGTAGCATCTCTTAGTATCTGCTGGAGTGGATTCCAGGATCCACCTTGGATACAAAGGTCTATAGATGCTCTAGTACCATTATATACCATGGCATGGTAAAATTATGTTCTCTATATAAAATGGTAACATTTGCATTTTTGGAATTTTTGAAAAATATTTTCAAGGAATGGATGGTTAAACTGTAGATGCAGAATTCATAGTTACAGGGGTTCAACTGAATATCACTGAAATAAGTTAAATGAGATAATATTTATTTTTTTCCTTTTTTCAGATGACTCTCAAGAGCAAGGTCTTCATATGTATTTTTGCACTGGGCCTTGTTTCTCTGGTTCTGTGGAATTCTAGCAGTATCTACCTACTATATCAAAAAGACATGTCAATTTTCAAAAGAAACAGTGAGGACTTTTTGAAGCTGCCTGATATAGATTGCAGGAGGAATGCACCATTCCTAGTGATACTGGTAACATCGCGACTTGGTCAAATGGAAGAGCGGATGGCTATTCGCAATACATGGGGCAAGGAAAGAATAATAGCTGGTAAACGTATTGTAACATATTTTCTCCTGGGAAATAATTCACGGCCCTATGACCAGATTGGTATTATTACCGAAAACATACTATATAAAGACATCATTCAGAAGGACTTTATGGACACATATTATAACTTAACTTTAAAGACTTTGATGGGTCTTGAATGGATCCATAAATTCTGTCCACAGTCTACCTTTGTGATGAAAACTGACTGCGACATGTTTGTTAATACTTATTACTTGACTGAACTTCTCCTGAAAAGAAACAGTACCACCAAATTGTTTACAGGTATTATCATAAGGCATGCCCACCCAATAAGAGATGTAAACAACAAATGGTATGTGAGCAAAGAGGAATATCCAGGGAAAAGTTACCCTTTGTATTCTGCAGGGGGTGGCTACGTTCTCTCTACTGATGTTGCAAGTGAAGTTTATGTCGTTTCAAAAAAGATGCCCTTCTTGAAACTGGAGGATGTCTTTGTCGGTCAATGCCTCGCTGTAATCAAAATTCAGCCAGAGGAGCTTGATTCAAGGCCAACCTTTTTTTCCAGCAATGTTCCATTTTCTCCTTGCCGTTATAGGAAAATCATCACAAGCCATCGTCACACTCCTGCTCAGATAATGTTATATTGGGATGGAATGGAGAAGAGTTTGGATGACAGATGTCCTAATGATCAAGGAAATTCACAATCTGTGGATATTTAGATCATAATGTGGAAGTCAACATGTTCCCAATGCAACAATGTCATCTAGCCAGTGAACCTGGAGACAAATGAGAACTACAAATTATTTGTTGATCTACACGGGTCATTTTTAAAGGAAAATCAAATCTGAAATGACTAGCTTTTTAAAAAGTGTTGAAATAAACTATATAATACATTTCAAAGACATAGCTATTTTTTTTAATTGGTATGCAAAGGGATCTTGTAGCATCTTTGAGACTAAGAGAATGAATTCATAGCACAAGAAATCCAAAAAGACTAAGGACTGTATCAGGTAATGCGGGGGACAATGGGGGAAATTGTGGAACAGTGGAGGAACTCACATGCTCTGTTCCCCATCATTGGGTTCTGTAGTCTCCCTTCCCATGACATTTCTTCATCTTCCCCTGCTTCCTGTTCAGCTCTTCTTGCTTTGTTCTATGTGGAATCGGGTGTTTCCACCATACTGCTGGCATGGAGCCCCACAGAGTTCCATAAGAAGTAGCCCTGCGTCATGTGATGGGCTTCAGGGCACTCTGTGCCGGCAGAGAAGAGAAGCAGGAAGAAGATGCTTCTCTTACTGTTTACTTCCTCAGTAATCGGTAAGAGGAAATATGTTGTCAGAAGGTAAGATAATATTTGTCATCTCTTGATCATACACACAAGTTTTGCATTTTATACACTCAGTCAGCTAATAAAAGTCATTTTTAGGCCTGACACTCAGAGTGCTAGAACCTATACTGACCACAGAGTGTCTAGGCAAGTTTTTACTTCATTTGGTCGAATAGGGAAAGACCGATAATCTAGAGCCAGAATGTGACAAATGTCTCCTTGATACAGGAAGTGATCCTATCTACATTTTTAAAAAAGTGGGATAGAAAAAAGTACCTTCTCTCAATTCTGATATTTCTCCATTACTGCCAGCTACCTGTCAACGTGCACCATCATTACTCTGAGGGCACCAGTTCTTGTCTGCTCTTGGATGCTAAGCAGTATCAGTCCTGGCTAGTACTTGGAGGGGAGACCACCAACAAATAACAGATGCTGTAGGCCCTATTTCAGAGGAAGGAACTGGCAATACTAGCTTTGAACATTCCTGCCTAAGAAAATCCCATTAACTTTATGGGGTTGCCATATGTTGACAGCTGATTTGAAGGTATACACAGACACAGCTGTTAACATTTCCCTCCCAGGAAAATATTGTAAGTGGTTTGTTAGAATACAACTAAAGATACATGGTTGACACTGAGTTCTAGATCCATTTCAGTCTACACATCCAGGCTGCTTTGAGTTTCAAGATTGCTATTCACCTGATGGTTTCCTGCTTCAAGAGGAAGACAAAGTATTGCCTATTTTAAACAGATGATGAAAGGTTATCTGTTCTGCACTGGCAGAAAGTATAAATGTTCTGCACCGGCAGAAAGTTGAAGTACATGATTCTTTACAATACCATGCTTCTATTATTCTTTGGACAGATAATCAATTCCAGCAGCTTGTTCTAGGGAACAACAACAATAGGAAACAATGGAGGTATTTGACACCCTCTATGCTTGCACATTACATGTTCAAATCCCTTTTCTCCTCTACACTGCCATATAATCCAGATTATCAATGTAGATAATCCACATTATCTGCTTTGAACTAGATTATATAAGTCTGCATTGCCATATAATCCAGTTCAAAGCAAATAACCTGGAGGGGCCTCAGTAAGATTGTTCCATTGTTAACTGAGAAGAACTTATATCAACTGTCTTCTTAATTTATGGTGCTCTGTCACTGGGACTGTAAGTGTGGCTGTGGTAAAGAAGAAGGTTTCAAATTACCAAACAGTACTATGGAACCCTGGGATTTGTAATTTGGAAAGGCACCAGCACTCTTTAGCAAAGAATGCTAAAGAAGTTGTAAAATCTACAACTCATAAGATTCTATAGCATGGAGACATGACAGTCAAAGTGGTTACAAATTGCACTAATTCTAAAGCAAAGACGCATCCATTGATATAACATTCCACTATGGATTTAACTTCAAGAAGCATTTCACAAAATAGACAGAAAAAAAACTGAAAATAGATGACATTTAAAGACCTATTAATGTTTGAAAATAGCAACATAGATTTAAAACCCAATATGTGATTAATGAAGGTTTGGATTTTAATTGCTAGATATATAAATATTAGGCTTGGGTAACTACGGAAAAATTTGGTTCTAAACTCGTTTCGTTTTTAAGGGGTTTTTGCGTTTCGTTTTTTAAAAGAATTCCGAAATTTTCTTTAAAAAAGTTTGAAATATACGAAATTTCGTAAATTATGAAACAATTACGAAACAATTACGAATCGATTCGTTAATGGCGGACGCGATTGCGCAAAATGCTAAAAAACCCTCCAAATGGGACAGGGGGAACTTCTGAAGCTTCCCTCTCCCTCTGTTGTTGACTGTTGGTGTGATAATTTATTTTTTATCACTGATAAAACAAACAACAACCCTAAAACTTGCACCAGACATACGGAAATAATTACGAAACAATTTCGAAACAATTTCGAAAAAATTTCGAAAAATTTCGAAACAATTACGAAACAATTACGAAATAAATTGAAAAAAATGTTTCAATTTTTAATTACTCCTGCATGGCTCAATATCGGATCGTAAGCTAATTTAAATACGAATTAATAACGAATTACGAAATTAACAAACGAAACCACCCAAGCCTAATAAATATAGCTATATTAAAGACACAGAATGAATAAAAAAATTTTTAAAACAGAAGAAACTGAATATGAACCTAATCTATGCCCTGACAATCTCAACCCAATTGGGAAAATGTATACATTATCACTAAAAACGGAATCAGAAGATGAACAAATAGAAGAATGTATGATTAAATGGGGTCAGAATATTAGTCTCAACATAAAGTTGGAGAGATGTCAAAAAGAACTCAAAGGTATCCTAAATGTGGATTTAAAGGAATTTTTTTACAAAGTGATGTATTTAATCCGAACTAACTTATCTAAGATGTATACAGACACTAAAAATCTTTGTTGAACATGTGGAATGCACCAAAGTACTTTTGGTGGTAGACTTGCAGTAAAACAAAACAAAAAAAATATTGGCAGATGATTCAAAATTTGATGCAAGAATTTTTCAAAATTAAGATTGAAAAAGACCCAGCTTTATTTTTGCTGGGTTTGCCAAATTGACAAATTAAAATTCAGAGGTACAAATTAATACCACATGGTTTTATCCTCAAGAAAGCTTTATGCTCAATGTTTTTTCCATTAAGAAAAGCTTGGACTATAAAGATGATAAAATGACCAAAATGCACAAATGATCAATGATCATTAAAAAATAAGGCAAAACCTCCTTGCTCAACTCCTCCCTTCAAAGGCACCAGAAAAGGAAAGAAGTCAATAGCCATTATGGACAGGAGCTGTTCAACAGACACTTGCAACCTACCTCAAGGCAATCTGACCTCCTCTTCTCCCCTCTCTTCTCTCCACTTTCCTCTGGGTAAATCAGTGGTTCCCAACCATTTTTTTTGGACAAGGGACAATTTGACCAGGAACAACATTAGTACCAAAAGAGTTATGAAATCAGTTTTTGGTCAACTTTAGATTTGGTTTGGTTATTTGGGGTGCTGATTCAGAAAATTGCATTGAATAGACCACATCAGCTCTAGTTTCTGATACAGAACATATGCCATTCAGCAGTCACTATCTGCTCACCCACAGAAAACTATATTTAATAAGCCTTGGCACTGTAAGAGGGTTTTTGTGAGACGAATTGCTCTTGTTGTAACGGTGTAGTAACAGTGAGGCCATGGAACATAGTTCTTGCAGACCACTGGTGGTCCACAGACCACAGGTTGGGAACTACTGGGGTAAATTCACTTGGGTAAAGCAGGAAAGAAGGAAGGTAGTCAGAGTGGATTGATGGTAGAAGATGCTTCCTTTTTAAAATGAAATTGTCCTCAAAAAAGTAGTACTGGGTGACATTGGCAAGCCACACTCTCTCAAACCCAGAGGAAGACAATGGTAATCCCTCTCTGAACAAATCTTGCAAAGAAAACTTTGCCTTGGGGTCACCGTAAGTTGGCAATAACTTGAAAACATTCAACAAGATCAACAGATATACTAACGATATAGTATAGTTTCCTCCTCTAGTTTCGCCAATATGCAATCTTCAAGTGGTCCTTTATCCATGGGAGTTGTGAAGTTGTAGTGACTTGATATAAATCTGGAAAATATATCTGAATGTTATGACTCTTTTGTGGATTATATTTTCCAGCTCTAAATGTAGTTACCTGTCTGGAATGCCATTTCCTTCTCTTATTGCCAAAATTAATACTTAGTTTAGCTGTGTTCCTTACTTTTTCTTAGATGAATTGACTCTTTCTTACAAAAGCTTTATGATTTTTAATGAGAACTGGCTGACAATAATGTGTTATTATATTTGAAAGGATTGTGGAAAATTAAGTATGTAGCAGTTAACGAAGAATAAAAAATAATAAATACCAAATGCATGTTTGCATTAAATGGAACCATGAATTCAAGAGCAACTCTGTGTCCTTCAGGCCCTCTACAATGAAACTTCAATTACACATTGAAACAAATTATTTACACTCTGGACTTTTTGGATAGTCTGTAAGGGAGGAATGAAGAACAGGTTTTGGTCTGTGGGCCAATTTCTAGCCCACTAGAGGTTTGTGGGACTATCCTTCAGTGGTAGGTGGGGCCAGAGCAAGAAAGGTGGTCTCAATTGTGGTTTTATCTGTTATGAAGATAGTAATGCAACAAGAGAAGAGGTTGCTCATATAAATAACACACGTTTGGGTGCCTCAAATGTTAGTCTCGCTTCTAAGTATATTTGACCTGCTGATTCCAAAAATGGCACTGGTTTTCCCCTATAATGTCTAGTTTTGGAGATTTAGAACATATGCCATATACCAGTCTTCATTTGCACACTCATACAAAATCATGGTAACAATATCCAAGAAACTAGAGCTGTTGTG